GTATAAATTGATAGGAAAAGCCTGTCTTTTAAAAAAAGTCAATGTTTTCCTATTTCCTCAGCCCCGTTTTTATTTTCAACTCTTTCAGATGTTGGTTTTGATATTAACCTATATATTCTAAAACATTATTTTGGTACTAGAGGCTTGTTGCATGGAAAGATTCATGCAATAGGCTTTCCCTTCCCCTGGCTGCCGGCACCGGTTTTCCTCCGGCACCGGTTTTCCTCCGGCACCCGGGATCCAGGCCTTCGCTCTGGCCGGAGCCGTCTTCAAGCCTTCGCTGCCCCGCCCGCCGCTCCGGGCCGGGTTGCATACGGGGCGCCCGCTGCCTTGGGTTGCAGATAGTAGGCCTGGATGGTGGCAGGGCAGGTGGGATGGCGCTGTCCCACCCTGCCTACAGTATGCAAATTAGCCGCCATCTTTGTTGGTTAATTTGCATATCATGCTGATTAGCCAATGGGAAACGTGGTGAAGGTACGGTAAATTACCATGTTTGTCTATTAGTTTGGTAGTAGAAGGTAGTAGAATTTGTGCACTGGCAGGGAAGGGGGGTCCCTCAGCTCAACCTGTGTCCTCTCACAGATCACGCTGCCGCTCGCCCCGCCCACCCTGCCCAAGACACGGCAGGCCAGGATCTCGCCTTGGGCTGCACAGTGGGATCTGCCTGCAGTATGCAAATTAGCTGCCATCTTTGTTGGAGGTTAACTGCCATCTTAATTGGCAGTTAATTTGCATATCGCCCTGATTAGCCAATGGGAAGTGTAGCGAAGGTACGGTTAATTACCATGTTTGTCTATTATTAGATAGGATGACTTCATCTATCAATTTTTGGTATAATTATGATATTCCTTTTCTTATATATAAAGAGTTCACCCTTACTCTTCCTTATCCTTTCAGTAAAGTTATATTAGTTCTCAGGGTAGTTAAAAAAAATAAAAATACTGCTCAGTGAGGAGCCAATAATGGTTCTTGGGTTCATTTTATATCTTAACATGATATAAATTCTTATTTATCTGTTGTCATTTCTTTGGTTTCCTAGAGTTTACTGGTTTTTTTCATTTGATTAATTTTCTGGGTGTGGATCACTAATTCTTCCCACACTCTCTAACTTTTCTTAGTACTAATTTTTACATTTTTATAAATCACTAAATGATCTATTTTCTTCTTTTCTCTGATCTCCCCAGTCTTCTTTGGCCTTTCCTATTCCAATCTGTATTGATTTCTTACTAGGGTTACTAAACAGCTTTCTTCTCTTCACATCACCTTTGAAATTTCATTTGCTTTTCTGTTGTTCTGGATCTCCAGTTTCTGGGATTCCATGTTGTCATATCTATTGGTTTACTTCTTTGTTTTTTTCTGAGAAGAGTGCATGGGAAACAAATGTATTTTTAGAGCTTTCAAGGCCTCAAAATGTGTGTTATACCCTTATTTTTATTGACAATTTGTTGGATACAGATATCTAGATGGAAAATTTTTTTCTGTCAGGACTTTGAAAATATTGCTGCATTGTATTCTGGATTCCAATATTGCTTTGAAGAAGTACTAGCTATTTTTATTCCTGAGCTTTTCCTTGTCATTCTTCACTCTCCCTGAAAGCTTTTAGGATCTTTGCCCCTCCTTTATTTCAGAAATTTCATGATACGTGTTTTGGTGGGCTTTTAAGTTCTGAAATTAAAATAATGTCATAATTTCCTCACATCTAGATTTTTTACTGTGTCTTCTTGGAATTATATTAGTCAGCTGATTTTACCTCTTTTCCTTCCCATTCTTCCCATTGTCTTTCTTTGTCTACTTTGAGAGAGGTTTCTTTAGTTTTACCTTCTGAACTTTGTGTTGAATTTTACAAATTGCTATAATTTTAATTTATTATTAAATTGTGAATGTTGTATGTGCAAAAGCTATCTATAATAATAAAAGCGTGCCGAAACCGGTTTGGCTCAGTGGATAGAACGTCAGCCTGCGGACTGAGAGGTCCCGGGTTCGATTCCGGTCAAGGGCATGTACCGGTGGGGGATGTGCAAGAGGCAGCTGATCGATGTTTCTCTCTCATCGATGTTTCTAACTCTATCTCTCTCCCTTCCTCTCTGTGAAAAATCAATAAGATATATTTAAAAAAAAAATAATAAAAGCGTAATATGCTAATTAGACTGAATGTCCTTTCAGATGACATTCTGAATGAAGCCAGGGCTGCGAGGGAAGCCTGAGTCCCTGGTGCCAGAGGGAAACCGGTGCTGGCAGCTGGGGGAAGGAAGGCCTACTCTTGCACGAATTTTGTGCATTGGGCCTCTAGTATATATTTGTACACATTAAAGGGCTCTGTTTTGTAATTTGAATGCATTAATCTTGTTTCAGCAACCCATTATCTTTTATGTCTCAGGATATAAATTAATTAAAGTCTTTTATTTCACTTTTTTATTTATGCATTTTATCCACTTCCTTTGAAATTAAAGAAAATATATTTTTATTGATTTCAGAGAGTAAGGGAGAGGGAGAGAGAGATAGAAATATCAATGGTGAGAAGAAATCATTGATTTGCTGTCTCCTGCAAGCCCCACACTGGGGATCAAGCCTGCAATCTGGGCATGTGCCCTGACCTGGAATCAAATAATGTCCTCCTGGTTCATAGGTCAACGCTCAGCCACTGAGCCACAGCAACTGGGCTGAATTTCTTTTTACTGCTTGTTTTGATCTGGCTTTGGTGTTGAAGCTTTTCCTGGAAAATCTTCTTATCCTTTTCTGTCCCTCCATGGTTAAGAGAGGGCACTGAAAGCCTGGCTGGTGGGCTTAAGTGGTTGAGCACTCACCCTTGCTTGAAACCTTTTATTTCACTTCTTTTCTTTCTGCATTTTATCTACTTCCTTTGAAATTAAAAACATATGTATAGTTTTATTGATTTCAGAGAGTAAGGGAGAGGGAGAGAGAGATAGAAGCATCAGTAATGAGAAAGAATCATTGATTGGCTGCCTCGTGCACATCCTCCAATGGGAGATTGAGCCCCCAACCTGGGCATGTGCCCTGACTGGCAATTGAACCGTGACCTCCTGGTTCATGGGTTGGTCCTCAACCACTGAACCATGCTGGCCGGTCTCATTTTTGTTTTTTAATACTGATTTCACAGTCAGTTATCAAGCAGTTTAATGCTCATTTCCTGACAATGAATTTTTATGGTAAAATTGACTGGCCTTTTGGCTTTCTTAACCCAAATCTGACTTCAAGATTTTTTGTGAGGGAGGGCAGTTTAGAATATTTTCACAAAAGAAACGTATTCAAAGGTATGGTCCTTTGAACTTGGTTTTCCTAAACCTAAAGGAAGAAGCTATTCATCAGGAAAAAACTTTATTTTTCTTATATAAATTGCAATATTATAGAATTTTAAAACTGGAGGAGGCCTTAGAAGTAAAATCCCTTTCATTTGCTACTGATAAAATAGGCATGATGTATCATTTAGCTTTTTCTGTGTAGTAGATTACTCCAAAAGTAGTGTTTTAAGGCAATAATAAACATTATCCTCACAGTTTCTATGGATAGGAATTTGGGAGTGGTTTTAACTAGTCAGATCTGGCTTGGATTTCCCATAAAGTTATACTCAAGATGTTGGTCAGGTTAGTCATCTCAACCTTGTGTGGGGCTGGAGCATATTCCAGATGGGCTCACTTTCATGATTGGCAAGTTGTAACCTGTTGTTAGTGTGAGACCTCAGTATTTTTCTTATGTGGACCTCTTCACTCTTTGAGTGTCTCACAACATGATAGCTGGCTTCCCACAGAGTGAGTGATCCAAAAGAGAGCAAGGCAGAAGTAGCAATGTCTTTTATGACCTACTCACAGATGTCATACACTGTTATTTCTGCCACATTCCATTCTTTAGAAGAAGCCAGTCATTAAATCTGGTCCATATTCGAGGGGAGGAAAATTGGCCTTCACTCTTTAAAGGGAAGAGTATGTGGCCATACTTTAAATCTGCTACAGTTGAGGAAATGGGATTATTTCTACATGGTCACACAAGGAGTTGGTGATCTATTTGGACTACAATATAGATGTTTTGATAATATAACTAGGTGAAAATTATAATAGTTACTTAACTGTCATTCATTATTGGATGCAATTATTATAACCTATTACTTGTGTATCACTTGTTGATTCAACAGACCCCTTTGATTATTTACAATATGCTAGGCATTGTGCTACTAACTAAACTTGTCTAAAAAAATTAGACAAGTATATTAATTACTGACTCATTGTTTACATTTATTTTTATATGTTGTTGTGTGTGTGTGTGTGTGTGTGCGATGTTCCTAAACTCTTGCTCTACCAAATAGGGTAGGAATGCTCCTCCCAAGTAGACTTCAAGCAAATTATTAATTTTAAAATGTGGGCTTTAAAATTGACAACAAAACCACTTTTGTAAAATAAGCAGCTTTACTAATAAGGCATATTATTATAACCTGTTTTCCTGTTATTTACTGAGCATAAAATGAGTACTTGGTTCTTAGAGAAGCAAAAATATTTGCCACAATTCTTATGCTTAAATAGTTCTTTGTATAGAAGGGCAGGTAAATGCCTACATAAAATTGAGATGATAGCTGTCCACTTAATACGGTGACTTTTTATTAACTAAAGTACCAGTTTTTTGTTTTTTTAAAAAATATATTTTATTGATTTTTTTACAGAGAGGAAGGGCGAGGGATAGTTAGAAACATCAAATCAGTTGCCTCCTGCACACCCCCCGCTGGTTATGTGCCCGCAACCGAGGTACATGCCCTTAACCGGAATTGAACCTGGGACCCCTGCTCTATCCACTGAGCCAAACTGGTTAGGGCTAAAGTACCAGTTTTTGATGTTATGCTATCTAAAGTTATTATGGTGCTACTTAATCAGGAAGGAGGAAATAAAAACCATTTAGAAAAATGTATTTTAGTATTTGCTTAATTTTTTATATTGTTATATATAATTGTTACTTCTCTAGGAAGTATTGATTAATTTATTTTTTTCCCCTTACAGGCAATGTCTATGCTGCTTCAAGGAATATAAGCATTTGGAGATTTTTAACCAAGTAGTGTGTGCACTTATTAACTTAGTGATTGCCCAAGTTCAAGTGCTCCGGGACCAGCTTTGTAAACATTGTACTACTATTAACATAGATTCCACGTGGCAAGATGAGAGTAATCAAGCAGAAGAACCACTGAATATAGAAAGAGAGTGTAATGAAGGAAGTACAGAAAGGCAAAAATCAATAGAAAAAAAATCGAACTCTACAAGAATTTGTAGTGTGACTGAGGAGTGTTCTGATCCTTTTAGTTTATGGAGTACAGATGAGAAGGAAAAACTCTTACTATGTGTGGCAAAAATTTTTCAAATTCAATTTCCCTTATATACTGCTTATAAGCATAATACTCATCCTACTATAGAGGTATGTAAAAATAAGTATTGTGAATTTTAAGTAATACTATGTTAGTATATAGTTGTCAGTTTCTAAGTTATGAATATAAAGACAGTTATTGATGGAAAAATGTATAAAAATTACTATTATAAAAATAATTCCAGTTTTCTTTAAACTGTTCCTGTAATAACTTATATTAAACATTTGTTCATATTCCTATTAAGGAAGGATATATACATTGCAGTCATAAAAATTGAACTGTTCATTGATGATCTAAATATTTTGCTGATGTGGATCTATGCTCTATTGTTAGTCTTTCAAAAGATAATGATTGGGAAAAAGAAGCACATAGAATTTTGAATTTCATTTTTAGAGGTATAGGTAACAGAATTTGAAATGGTCTTAGTCAAAAAAGTAACTATTAGTCTCTATATATAAAGAGCCAGGGTTTGTAATGTCCAAAACGACCGAAGGGACAACCAAATGCTAGGCTGCGTGGGCAGCAGGCTCAGGTGGGCGGGGACTGGCGAGTGGGCGGAACTGCTGACTTCTGGAGAGAGAGAGGGGAGGTGGGCAGGGCTGATCAGCAGCTTCCGTGGCTGCTGGTGAGGCCTGGAGTGAGAAGCAGGGTCCGATCAGCAGCCTCTGTGCAGGCTTGCCTCTCTCTGGCCTCGCCAGTAGCCACGCCTCTCCCTCCCTGCCCCCGCCCCCCCCCCCCCCCCCCCCCCAGATCAGCAGTTCAGCCCGCACGCCAGCAGCCTGAGGCGGCTGCTGATCAGCCCTGTCCCTCTGATCAGGCCGGGAGATGCTGGCATAGAAACCGACCAGTAAGAACCTAATCTGGGTGAACTGCTAAGGCAGAACCTAAGGTGGGGCTGAGGAGAGGTTTTAAAAGGGCAACAGCTGTTTGGTGTAAGATGTAAAAAAGCGGTTCAATTTTTTAATGACCTGTTTGGCAGTATAGTGCATTTGGCTGGCTATCAGTCCAGATATAGGGATTATGTATTTTTGTCTGCCAGGAGCATCTCCTCCTGCTGAAAAAGGCGCCCCCCCCCCCCCCCCCCCATTTAAGCAATCCTATCCTACATAATCTACATAATATGCTAATTAGACCGGGTCGACCAGCCATATTCTGGACTTCCGACTTCCTTCCATGGTGGGGGGGCCGAGGCAGAGGCAGTTAGGGGCGATCAGGCCAGCAGGGGTGGGCAGTTGGGGGCAAGATCAGGCTGGCAGGGGAGGGCAGGGCAGTTGGGGGCGAGATCAGGCCGGCAGGGGAGAGAAATTAGGGGTGATCAGGCAGGCAGGCAGATGAGCGGTTAGTAGCCAGTGGTCCCAGATTGTGAGAAGGTGCAGGCTGGGCTGAGGGAACCCCTCTTCCCCGGTGCATGAAATTTGTGCACTGGGCCACTAGTTTTAAATAATAGTATTTTCTTTTGTAACGTAAGATGGCTTGACTCATTCTATTAGTAATATTTTTATAAGCCCTTCTAAAGAGTTTAGTAACTCATCTTAGGTTTCTAATTTAGATAATGACATTTCTTTCTAAATGTAGTGAAAATTGAGATAGTTACGTGGCAGTGCATAATATTAGTGGTTTAAAACAATAGTGATTTATTATTACTCATGATTCCGTGGGTTGGCCTGGCAATTCCTTTGCTGGTTTTGTGTGTCTCATTTATGCAGCTGCATTCACTTTTGAGTGTTTTATGGTCCAACTTCCTTTCTGACTTTTGGTGCTGGCTGTTGTCTAGGCTGGGCAGCAGTCACCAACCTGTGGCTGCCTGTCATGTTCCACGCCGCCCCCTGGTGGTCAGCGCACATCATAACGATTGAGCTCCCACTCTCCTGGTTGAACTCCCGAGCAATTTGCATAGTAGCCTTTTATATATATAGATCATTTTTATAATCCTCACCTGAGGATTTTTTTTTTAATTGATTTCAGAGACAGCAAGAGAGAAACATGTATGTGAGAGCTAAACATTGATTGGTTGCCTCTCATATACACCCACCCAAAATGTATGGGATGATGCTCCAACTAACTAAGCCACGGCAGCCAGGACTCCCCTTAATATTTTTGAAGGATGCTTAAAAAGCTTAGATGGTTATGCCACCATTTATTTAGCCATCCTATTGATACCTAAGTTGTTTCTAATTTTGAGATGTTAAATGAATAATTTCTGTGAGTCTGATTACATATACATTTTCTAAATGTTTTTTTTTTTTCTTAAATTTTTATTGACTTCAGAGAGGAGGGGAGAGGGAGAGAGAGAGAAACATTAATGATGAGAATCATTGATTGGCTGCCTCCTGCATGCCCCTCACTGGGGATTGAGCCCACAACCTAGGCATGTGCCATTGGCCAGAATCAAACCCAGGACCCTTTGTTCCACAGGCTGATGCTTAATTCACTGAGACAAACTGTGCGTGTGTGTGTGTGTGTGTGTGTGTGTGTAAGTATATATATTTTACTGATTTCAGAGAGGAAGGGAGAGATAGGAACATCAATGATGAGAATCACTGATCAACTGCCTCCTGCACACCCTCTACTTGGGATGGACTCCACAACCCAGGCATGTGACCTTGACCAGAATCAAACCCAGGGCCCTTCAGTCCTCAGGCTGACGCTCTATCCACTGAGCCAAACTGGCTAGGGCTAGAGTAATTCTAAAAACACTTAATATGGTTTTGAAACTGTGCTTTGGAATTCTCTGTTTTATAATGTGCTTTCCATACATAAAATTTAACTACCCAGAAGCACACTCATCCATTGTTAGTGAGAGTATAAGCTGGTAAGGCCATGTTGGAGGGCAATTTGGCAATGTACATCAGCATTTAAAATGTACATTCCCTTTGGTCCTGTTCATCATTTAGTCAATTATCCTAAACAACTAATAAAAAAGATAAATATACGTGTGTGTGTGTGTGTGTGTGTGTGTGTGTGTGTATACATATATATATATACACACACATATATATATATATAATTACTCCAATTCTTTAAGGAAAGATTTTTGTTTAAGATAAATAATGTGTACTACATAGTATAGAAATATTTATTTGGAGAAGAGTTAACATATACTTTAGAACTCAGTCATATTAGCTTCAATTAGGAATACCACTGTTCATGATGAGAAGCAATCACAAAATCTGAGTTTTTATAAAAGCAGTCTTTAAAAAATTGTATTTTGTAAGGGTTGTCATTAAGTAGTGTGACCTAATTGTATTTACTTTTTTTTTATACACTCAGGATATATCAACCCAAGAAAGCAACATATTGGGGGCATTCTGTGATATGAATGTAAGTTTTTGCCTATTTTCATTCTCAGTTTTATGGAAAATTTTGTGGTTGTGCCCCCCACCCCCATTTGTGTGTTTTGAGTTTATTTTTATGTATGATCAGTATTTTTCCAGTATTGATAATAAAATAAAAATCATTCCTGATTTAGTTTTAAAATAACATTTTCTTTTTTTCCTCAGGATGTAGAAGTACCATTGCATTTGCTTCGTTATGTATGTTTGTTTTGTGGGAAAAATGGCCTTTCTCTCATGAAGGATTGCTTTGAATATGGAACTCCTGAAACTTTGCCATTTCTTATAGCACATGCATTTATTACAGTTGTATCTAACGTAAGTGTTATTTGGAATTGGTTTTACCCTTGAGTATAATGTCTAGATTTTAATAACAAATTTTATGTACAGTAAAGGCAGGTTTTGAGTGATTTGTATGTAGAATAACTTTTTTTTCGCTATATTTAAAAAAAATTGAGTACAGAAACCTCCTTAGAGTACTTTTTTTTCATAGAAAGGGTCAAGATCTCTTTTATTTAATTTGTATACTACCTTCTTATACTAACAAATAACCAGAATTAAAAAAGAATTCATTAAAATCCAGAAAGCACTTCTGTGGTTTTAGGGCAGCTGTGACAAAGGTACCATAAACTGTGTGATGTAAAACAATAGACATTTATTCTTTCATGGTTCTGGAAACTAGAAGTCATAAATCAGGTGTCAGCAGTTCCTTTTTTTGGAGGTTCTTAAGAAGTATTTGGTCCTGTCTCCCAGCATCTGGTAGTTGCTTGCAATCCTTGATGGTCCTTAGCTTATATAGAGATGTATTACTGCAATTTCTGCCTCCATCTTTACATGGCTTTCTCCTCTGTGTGTTTGTATCCAAATTTCCTTCCTCTTGTAAGGACACTAGTCATTGAACTAAGGTCTACCTTAATCCCATGTGACCTCCATATTACTTGATTATATCTTTAAAGCCTTCTTAAAATCTGTATTATAATAAAATTGAATTTGTATAAATAATTGAATTTAAGTTGAATAGGTAAATTTAGCCATTTACCTCTTATCTGAAATAATAAAAGGCTAATATGCAAATCGACCAAAAGGCGGAACGACCAGCGGCTATGATGCGTACTGACCACCAGGGGGCAGATACTCAATGTTGGAGCTGCCCCCTGGTGGTCATTGTGCTCCCACAGCGGGAGTGCCTCTCAGCCAGAACCTGGGGTCATGGCTGGTGAGCGCTGCAGTGCTGGTGGGAGCCTCTCCACCTCTGTGGCAGTGCTAAGCTGTCAGTTGGATATCCTCCGAGGGCTCTGAGGGACCCTCTCCCCCCAAGTGCACGAATTTCGTGCTGTGGGCCTCTAGTCTGAAATACAGCTTGCTATTCATCACTTTGAATATTTCTTGCCACTCCCTTCTGGCCTGCATAGTTTCTGTTGAGAAATCAGCTGACAATCATATGGGTACTCCCATTTAGATAACTGTTTTTCTCTTGCTGCTTTTAAGATTCTCTCTTTGTCTTTTGCTCTTGGCATTCTAATTATGATGTGTCTTGGTGTGGTCCTCTTTGGATTCCTTTTGTTTGGGGTTCTCTGTGCTTCCTGGACATTTAAGTCTATTTCTTTCACCAGGTAGGGGAAGTCTGCCATTATTTCTTCAAATAGGTTTTCAATATCTTGCTCTCTCTCTTCTTCTGGCACCCCTATAATTCGGATGTTGGGACCCTTGAAGTTGTCCCAGAGGCTCCTTCACTATCTTCATATTTTTGGGTTCTTTTTTCTTTTTATTTTTCCGGTTGGGTGTTTTTTACTTCTTCGTATTTCAAATCTTTGACTTGATTCTTGCGATCCTCTAGTCTGCTGTTGGGATTCTGTATAATATTCTTTATTTCAGTCAGTGTATGCTGTATGCTTAATTTCTAGTTGGACCTTTTTCATATGCTTGAGGGTCTCAGTAGATTTATTGAGAGTCTCACTAAATTTATTGGCAGTTTCTAGAAAATTCTTGAAAAACCTTATAATCATGGTTTTGAACTTTATATCCAGTAGTTTGCTTTCCTCCATTTCTGTCATTTGTGACCTGTTTATTTGTCTCCGCATTTTGGCTGCTTCCCTGTGTTGATAGAGTGGCTTTCTCTGCTAGGTGTGTTATACGGCCCAGTGGCTCAGCCTCCCCAATTACCTGAGGTGGACACTCTTGGTGCACCCCTTTGTGGGCTGTGTGCACAGTCTTGTTGTAGTTAAGCCTTGATTGTAGTTGGTATCACTGGGAGGAATTGACCTCCAGGCCAATGGACTGTAAGAATCAACTGTGTCTATGGTGGGAGAACTTCTTTGCTGGAGACACCCTTATGGGGTAAGTCTTGCTTCAGTGGGGCTTTGGTGCTCACTGAGTCTGCTCCCTGAGTGTGTCCCTTATGGATCTGAGGAGTTGTAATCTGGATGGTCCCACTCTGACCACTGGGTACACTGGCTCTTGGATCTCTAAGGAGGTGCTAATTTAGCCTCTGCCTGAGGCTACCCAGCAGGAGCTATGGAAGGATCTGCAGATTCCACTTCTTTGTTTGGGGTTTGGAGGTTTCCAGATGAGGCCCAGCTGTGAAGCAATGCAAGCTGCTGTGGGGCCTTGGGCCTTCTTTTGGATGTTCTGGGTCTCTCTGAGCCAGCTGCAGTTCATTAGGTAATTTTAGATCTCACAGGGTCAGGCCATTCATATGCAAAAGCCTCTGAGCACAGCTTGGGTGGGGCAGGGTCTCAGGGAATCAAAAGGGCGGAGCACACAGCTATGGTTGATCCTCAGTCCTGCCCTAAGAGGCCCCGGGTCTCAGTGTCGTGGTAATCGCTGCAAGCACCTCTGAGAGAAAGCCGCCCTAGAGTTCTGCCTGCTGCCAGACAGTCCAGTTTCTCCCCGTATGAGTCTGGGTCTCCCGAGACTTGCCCATAACTGGAGTTCAGAGCAGGAGCGTGTGTCTCCCTCCCGATTGAAAAAGACAACTGCGTCCTCATTTGGCAGCCCTTTCCGCACTGCCTCCGTACCTCTGCACTTTACTTCCGCACCTCCTCTGAGTCTCAGTGTGCTTTTCTCTTTCCTTCTAGTTGTAGAATTTCCACGCAGCCAGCCTTCCTGTGGTTCTGGATGATGTCCGTTTTGTCTTTTAGTTGTATTTTTGAAGTGGTTGTGTGAGGCAGCAATTTCAGATGTTTACCTATGCCACCATCTTGGATTCTCCTGTCTGTTTCTTATTGATAGGTGGAGATTTCTTTTTATGTTTTGGATATTAGTCTTTTGTGTGACATCTATGTATTGTTATATCTTCCACTCTAGTCTGATTTTTATTCTCTTGTCTCTTTTAAGAGTTATCCATCAAACTGTGTAATTTATAAAAAAAAGTTTTATGGTAATGTTTTATTTATGGTTGGAAAAATGTTTCTTACCTTGAGATCATGAGATTTTTCTGTGTTCTAAAAGTTTGATTGTTTTACTTTCACATTTTAATCTATAGGTCAGCTGGAATTATTTTATGTATGGTGCGGGTAAGGGATCAAGATTCATTTTTTTTTGATATAGACAACCACTGTTCCTAACACTGTAGCAACGGAAGTGTTTCTCCTTTTTTTCAACACTATCATTTTTACCATAAGTTAGGAACCTATATGTGCATGGCTCTGGGATTTCTTGTTTATTCTATTAGTCTATTGTTTAATCTTGGTTATTTGCATACTACCTTAATTTCTGGAGCTTTATGAGCAGGGTTGCTATCTTGTAAAGCAAGTTCTATCTCCCTGTCATTTTTTTAAAATTGAGGTATAGTTGACATATAACATCATATTAATTTAGGTGTACAACATAATGATTTGATATTTGTATATATTGCAAAATGATAACCATAGAAAGTCTAGTTAACATCTGACATCATTCATACTTAAGTTTATTTTTCTTGTAATGAGAACTTTTTTTAAAAAAAATATATATTTTATTGATTTTTCACAGAGAGGAAGGGACAGGGACAGAGAGCCCGAAACATCGACGAGAGAGAAACATCGATCAGCTGCCTCCTGCACACTCCCCACAGGGCATGTGCCCCCAACCAAGGCACATGCCCTTGACAGGAATTTTTTTTTTTTTTTTTAAATATATTTTATTGATTTTTTACAGAGAGAAGGGAGAGAGATAGAGAGCCAGAAACATCGATGAGAGAGAAACATCGATCAGCTGCCTCCTGCACATCCCCCACTGGGGAAGTGCCTGCAACCCAGGTACATGCCCCTGACCAGAATCGAACCCGGGACCCCTAAGTCCGCAGGCCGACGCTCTATCCACTGAGCCAAACCGGTTTCGGCCCCTTGACAGGAATTGAACCCGGGATCCTTGAGTCCGCAGGCTGACGCTCTATCCACTGAGCCAAACCGGTCAGGGCTGTAATGAGAACTTTTAAGAACTATTCTGTTGGCTACTTTCAGATACAAAATACAACATTATTAACTATAGTCACCGTACATTACATCCCCATTCTCAGTCATTATTAAAGAATGTTTTATCTGTTCTTGGACCTTTGCATTTGGAAGCAGAGCCTAAAGTTTGTACATAAACTTTTTGTTTGCATTGAATTTATAGATCACTTTGGGGAAAACTGTCATTTTTGTAATATGAGTCTTCTAATCTATAACTGTGACAAATGTGTTTTTATTAACATGTTCTTTAATATTTCTCATAATTTCTGTTTCTATGTAGAGGTGTCATATGTCTTAGATTATTCCTAGGCATATGCTATTTCTTGATCTTGTAAAGAGAATATATACGGATATGTGTATATATGTATTTTTAAATCTTTATTTGTTGAGAGTATTATAGATGTCCCTTCCTCCCACCCCCCTTCTCCTCCTGGTTCCTGCCCCACCCCAGGCCTTTGCCACCCTATTGTCTGTGTCCATAGGTAATGCATGTAAGATCTTTGTTTAATCTCTTCCTGCCCTTCTCACCCCTCTTCCCTCTGAGAATTGTTAGTCTTTTCCATTTCCATGCCTCTGATTCTATTCTCTTCATTAGATTTCTTACCCATTTATTTTGATTTTTAGATTCAGTTGCTGATATGTTTTTTTTTTAAAATATATTTTATTGATTTTTTACAGAGAGGAAGGGAGAGAGATAGAGAGTTAGAAACATCGATGAGCTGCCTCCTGCACATCTCCCACCGGGGATGTGCCCGCAACCCAGGCACATGCCCTCGACCGGAATCGAACCCGGGACCTCTCAGTCCGCAGGCCCATGCTCTATCCACTGAGCCAAACTGGTTTCGGCTGCTGATATGTTTTTATTGCCATTCTATTTATATTTTTGATCTTTTTCTTTTTCTTTTCCTTCTTCCTCTTCATAAAGAATACCCTTCAACATTTCAGGTAATACTGGTTTAGTGGTGATGAATTCCTTTAGCTTTTTTTGTCTGTGAAGCTTTTTATCAGATGTTCAATTCTAAATGATAGCTTTGCAGGGTAATCTTGGTTGTAGGTCCTTGCTATTCATCACTTTGAATATTTCTTGCCTCTCCCTTCTGGCATGCAGTTTCTGTTGAGAAATTAGTGTTCCCTTGTAGGTAACTAATTGCTTTTCTCTTGCTGCTTTTAAGATTCTCTCTTTGTCTTTTAGCCTTTAACATTTAATTATGATGTGTCTTGTTGTGGCCCTCTTTGGGTTCCTCATGTTTGGGACTCTGTGCTTCCTGGACTTGTAAGTCTATTTCTTTCACTAAATGGAAGAGTTTTCTGTCATTATTTCTTCAGATAGATTTTCAATATCTTGCTCATGCTCTTCTTCTGGCACCCCCATAATGCGAATATTGGTACGCTTAAAGTCCCAGAGGCTCCTTACACTATTTTCATATTTTTGGATTCTTTTTTCTTTTTGCTCTTCTGATTGGATGTTTTTTTGCTTCCTCATATTTCATATCATTGATAGTTTCTCAGAATCCTCTGTCTACTGTTGAATCCCTGTATATTATTCTTCAGTCAGTGTATGCTTAATTTCTGACTGGTCCTTTTCCATGTCTTTGGCATTCTCACTAATATCCTGGAAAGTCTCACTAAGTCCCTTGAAGGTCTCATGAAGATTCTTGAGTAACTTTATAACTGTGGTTTGGAGCTCTGTATCTAGCAGTTTGCCCTCTTCCATTTCTTTCATTTGTGACATGTTTTTTCTCTCTCTGAATTTTGGCTACTTTCCTATGTTTCTATGTAATGGGTAGAGCTACTGTGTCTCCTGTAGTAGAGTGGCTTTGTGTAGTAGATGTCCTGTGGGGTCCAGTGTCTTATAGCCTCCCCAGTTACCGGAGTTGGGCACTCTGCACCCCTTTGGGGTCTGTGTGTACAGTCTTGTTGTAGTTGAGACTTGATTGCTGTTGGTGTCACTGGGAGGAACTGACCTCCAGGCCAATTGGCTGTGAGGACCCGCTGTGACTACAGTGGGAAAGCTGCTGTGCAGGATACACCCCTATGGAGCAGGATGTGCTTCATTGGGGCTTTGGTGCTCACTGAGTCTGCCCCTTGAGTGTGTCGCTTATGGATGTGTAGAGCTATAATTTGGTATGGTCTGATGATGACCACTGAGTGCACTGGCTGTTATGTCTCCAGGGAGGTGCAAAGTCAGCCAGTGACTTAGGCCACTTGGCAGGAGCTACAGGAGATATGCAGATTCCTCCTATTTGTATTGGGTTTGGAAGTGCTCTGGTAAGGCCCAGCTGTGAAGCAAGGCAGGCTGGTGCTAGTGCTGTGTGTTGGGCCGTTTATTGATAGGTTTGGGGCACCTTGAGAGATTTGAGCAAAGTCTGAAGCCTGAGCATGGACAGTTCATTCGTATGCAAAAGCAGCTGCACACAGTTTGGATGGGGCTGCAAATTGGATAGGGCGGGGTCTCAGGGAATCACCAGGGTGGAGGAAATAGAAATGGCTGCCAGTCAGCCCTGCTGACCTAGGAGGTCCCAGCATAGGAACAAAGACCCCTGCAAGCACCTTGGTCTGTTTCTCCTATGTCTCTGGGTCCCCCAGAGCCTCACCCTAGCACTGGAGCTAAGAGGAAGTGGAACCTTGTAAGTTCAGTTGGGGTGGGACCCTTTTAAGAGGAACAGCTGGGTCACCAGCAGCCTCCTCGTAACTGAGCTCCAATCCCTAATCCTCTGCTCTGTAGAGACGATCTCCCTCCAGATTAAAAAAGTGTCACTGGTTTAGCGCCTCTGTCCCTTCTACCAGTTTCAATGTGCTTTCTCCTTTACTTCTCTAGTTGTAGGGCTTCATTCAGCCAGCTTTCAGGTGGTTCTGGATTATGGTTATTCTGTATTTTAGTTGTAATTTTGATGTGGTTGTGGGAGGCAGTGAGTACAGGTGTTTACCTATATCGTCATCTTGGTTCTTGAAGAGGATATTTTTGAAAACTGTAATTACTCTTTGTTCCTGGTATAAAAGAAATATACATACATATATATGTATAATATAGTTTTTGTGTGTATGTATGTGTACATATGTATGTATATATTGATTTATTTATTTTTATTAACTTCTTAAGCAGCAATCTTGCTAAAATAGTTAATTCCAAGAAATGTTTATCTGAAAATTATTTTGGATTTTCTACTTATGTAGTCATATCATCTCAAAGTAATCTTGATTTTATTTTTTCCTTTTATTTGGTTTCTTGCCAATTGCACTGTGTAGGCCCATTAATTCAAGTTGAATTGAAGGCATTCTTGTTTTGTTCCTGGTCTTAGGAGAAAAAGTTTGTACATTTCAACATTAGTATAGTATTTGCTATAGGACTTAGTAGGTTATCTTATTAGATTAGAGTGAAGTCATACATTCTGCATTTGCAAATTTGTTTTTCATTTATATCCCTTAACTAGGCTTAGTATCATAGTTTCTTGTTAGATGCTTTGCTTAGGATTTTTATTCTTATATTTAAATCATTATGAGAATAAAACTACTGTAACGTAAGCATATTAGATTTAGAAATGGATTTGAATATCTTGCAGAAAAAAGGAAACATTTTATATCTTAGACCAGGGGTCCTCAAAGTACGGCCTGCAGGCCACATGCAAATACAAATATTGTATTTGTTCCTGTTTTGCTTTTTCACTTCAGAATAAGATATGTGCAGTGTGCATAGGAGTTTGTTCATAGTTTTTTTTTAAACTATAGTCCGGCCCTCCAACGGTATGAGGGACAGTGAACTGGCCCCCTGTTTAAAAAGTTTGAGGACCCCTGTCTTAGACTGTAGTAACAGTAAAAGCTTAATTCATAAATGATTATTTATATTGTAATTAATGTGTGACTCCATAAAAAGTGTATATATTATCATTGATGTTAGAGGAAGGGAGGAAGAGAGATAGAGAAACAACGATGTAAGAAACAATGATCAGTTGCCTCCCCCATGCACCCCAAGATTGGGGATTAAACCTGCAACCTGGGTATGTGCTTGACTGAATTGAACCTGCCACTTTTTGGATAACACTCTAACCAACTCATTGGCCAGGGCTAAGTATATTTGTTTTAAATTTAATGGAAGTGACTAGAAATCAGAGGTAATTTGATATTTTTTAGAAGGAATGGTAAGATGGTTTATTAGAAAACTAATTTAGTGCTGTAGTATTTGGATTGCTACCATATTACTTGGATAAGTGGTTGTCCCTTTTTAAGCAAGAAGCTAATAATTTTTCGGATTGATTTTTTGTTTGTGTGTGTGTGTGTGTGTGTGTGTGTGTGTGTGTGTGTGTATTCTTATATTTATATAAGTATAAAATTAAATCCAAACTCCTACAGTATATATAAAATGTATATAGGTTAAATTAATTACTTGATAATGTGTATTATATTGTTATCTTTTTCAAAATAGATAAAATGTATGTAGTTTAGATCCAACAAAATTCTAAATAATCTTGTTTTTAATTAAAGTGAAATACACTTGTATTCATATATTTATTATACATTAATGCCATCTTTACGTTTCTTTATAGATTAGAATATGGCTACATATTCCCGCTGTCATGCAGCACATTATCCCTTTTAGGACCTATGTTATCAGGTACGTTTATAAAATCTTTTCTGTCTGATTATCAGTGTAGTACATTTAAACAATTTATGACATAGTACAGAATCATATTGTTTCAAAGTCCTTTGTTTTCACATTCTTTAGAGAAAATTTTTATTCTCAGTTTGGTGTGTAGTATTTTTTATGTATATGTAGGTTTATATTTAATATTGCTTTTTTTTAATATGTTTTATTGATTTTTTACAGAGAGGAAGGGAGAGGGATAGAGAGTTAGAAACATCAATGAGAGAGAAACATCGATCAGTTGCCTCCTGCACCCCTCCCACCCCCCCCATTGGGGATGTGCCCGAAACCAAGGTACATGCCCTTGACTGGAATCGAACCTGGGACCTTTCAGTCCGCAGGCCGACGCTCTATCCACTGAGCCAAACTGGTCAGGGCTAATACTGCTTTTTAAAGCCATTTATGTCAGACTTTTTAAACATGGTATATAGATTAAAGAGATTACCATTGGTTACATGGGATTCCACTATATTCAGTCAACAAATGTATGCTAAGTATTATATTCTAAGCACTGGGGATGTAACAGAAAAAAAAATTTTTTTGTGCAGCTCTGTACAAAATGAATAAATAAATGATATAGTTCATCAGATAATGATTAGTATTAGAGAAAAATAGCAGCAAAGGTAGATTGAGAGTTCCAGAGAGTGGGTCACAATTTTAATTATGGGAATAGAGAAAGTCTCATGGAGGAGAAGGTGACAGTTGAGTTTTTTAAGCCTCAGCCTAGGAAGGAAACATATGAAGAGGATAAAGAAGAATTGTATTGATTAGACTTAAAGTATGAACTGTTAAGAGTTCTAAGATTGTATTTCTTGGTAATAATTTTAAGTTCTTTATACTTTTTTTCATTCATTTGCAAATTACTGGGTGTTTAATAATTTTTCATTACTGTTTGAGTTATTGGAGAAAGTGTCAGAAAAATAAACAGATAGTGATGAATGCTACACTAGTAAGGTAACAAAGAAAAAAGGTAAAGGGGGCAAAATATATGGTGACGGAAGATGCTTTGACTTTGGGTGGTAGGCACACAATTCCAGTATAAAGATCATGTAGCATTTGAAACCTATATAATCTTATTAACCAATGTCACCCTGGTAAATTTCATTATAAATCACTTTGGCTTTAATTGGATCATACGTTATAGGGGGGTTGGAATAGAAGACAGGAGACCAATTGAAAGGATAATGCAGTAGTCCTGGAAAGAAATCATGCTTGCTTGTGCAAGGATTATTTGTGGTGATTTTGAAAATTCAGTGGATATAAGTGAAAATGAAATCTACAAGATTAGTGATTGTGGAGTTTAAGAAAAGGGTAGTATCATGGATTACACTTAACCCACACCCCTCAGTTTCTCTTTTGTGCTGTATTATTAACTGAGATGTGAAAAGACTGGGAGAGCTTAAAAGACTTACTTTTAATATGCCTTTAGGATGTTTAAGAGGCACTGGCAAATTGGGAGTATAAGTCTGTTATTCAGAACAACATCCTCAATTTAGAAGTTGTCAACATAAAGGTAACACTTAAAAACCATAGGAGTGAATGGGGTTCTCTGGGGAGAGAATGTAGAAAGAGAATAGACGTGATCGTAGGATGGATCCCTGTGTCAGTTTGCTTTTGCTGTATAAGAAAATGGCTCCCAGTCCTGACCGGTTTGGCTCAGTGGATAGAGCGTCGGCCTTCGGACTCAAGGGTCCCAGGTTCGATTCCAGTCAAGGGCATATACCTTGGTTGCTGGCACATCCCCAGTAGGGAGTGTGCAGGAGGCAGCTGATTGATGTTTCTCTCTCATCATTGTTTCTAACTCTCTATCTCTCTCTCTTCTTCTCTGTAAAAAAAAAAAAAAAAAAAAAATAAAATATATTTTTTTTTAAAAAAAGAAAGAAAACGGCTCCCAAACTTAGTGGCTTGAAATAACAGCAATTTAACAATTATCTGTTTGGCTAGTTCTCCTGATCTGGGCTGACTGGCTAGAAACTGGGTGCTTTAGGATAGCCTCACTCATATGTCTTGTGCTTGTCTGGGTGATTGGTCATAGTGGGGAAGAGAGTTTCATATCTGTCTTGCAGTTGGCTAGATGTCATTTGGGGCATTGACCATATCTCTTTCATCAAGCAAGCTAACCTGAGTCACTGTTCTTGGTGGTTGAAGAGCTCCCAGCGAGAGATGGCAAGCTCAAAGGCGTTTGAAACTTCTGCTTAGGTCACATCTCTTTCTTTTTTTCTTTTCTTTTTTTTTTTTTTCAGGTGATCATCATAGCCAGGTTCTGTTTAGGTTCTCCAGCTAGGTTCTGTCTTTTTTTTTTTTTTTTTTTTTAAATTAAGTCTTTATTGTTCAGATTATTACATTTGTTCCTCTTTCTTCCCCCCATAACTCCCCTCCTCCCAGTTCCCGCCCCACCCTCTGCCCTCACTCCCCACCCACTGTCCTCATCCATAGGTGCACGATTTTTGTCCAGTTTCTTCCCGCATCTCCCACACTTCTTTCCCCCCCCAAGAATAGTCAGTCCATTCCCTATCTATGTCCCTGATTCTATTATAATCACCAGTTCATTCTGTTTATCAAATTATTTATTCACTTGATTCTTAGATTCACTTGTTGGTAGATGCATATTTGTTGTTCATAATTTGTATCTTTACCTTTCTCTTCTTCTTCTTCTTACAGGATACCTTTCAGCATTTCATATGATACTGGTTTGGTGGTGATGAACTCCTTTAGCTTTTCCTTATCTGTGAAGCTCTTTATCTGACCTTCAGTTCTGAATGATAGCTTTGCTGGATAAAGTAATCTTGGTTGTAGGTTCTTGCTATTCATCACTTTGAATATTTCTTGCCACTCCTTTTTGGCCTGCAAAGTTTCTGTTGAGAAATCAGCTGACAGTCGTATGGGTATTCCCTTGTAGGTAACTGAGTTTCTTTCTCTTGCTGCTTTTAAGATTCTCTCTTTGTCTTTTGCCCTTGGCATTTTAATTATGATGTGTCTTGGTGTGGTCCTCTTTGAATTCCTTTTGTTTGGGGTTCTCTGTGCTTCTCGGACCTGTAAGTCTATTTCTTTCACCAGGTGGGGGAAGTTTTCTGTCATTATTTCTTCAAATAGGTTTTCAATATCTTGCTCTCTCTCCTCTTCTGGCACCCTATAATTCTGATGTTGGTACGCTTGAAGCTGTCCCAGAGGCTCCTTACACTATCTTCGTATTTTCGGATTCTTTTTTCATTTTGCTTTTCTGGTTGGGTGTTTTTTGCTTCTTCGCATTTCAAATCTTTGACTTGATTCTTGCGCTCCACTGGTCTTCTGTTGGGAGTCTGTATACTATTCTTTATTTCAGTCAGTGTATGCTTAATTTCTAGTTGGTTCTTTATCACAACATCGAGGGTCTCATTAGATTTCTTGAGGATCTCACTACATTTATTGGCAGTTTTTAGAAAATTATTGAAAGACCTTAAAAGTGTGGTTTTGACCGCTATATCTTCCATTTCTGGCATTTGCGTCCTGTTTCTTTGTCTCCGCATTTTTTTATGTTTTCTTGGTGCACCCCCTAGTGGTCTTTGTGCGCAGTCTTGTTGTAGTTAAGCCTTGGTTGTTGTAGGTAATACTAGAAGGGATTTGACCTCCAGGCCAAGTGGCTGTGAGAATCAGCTGTGTCTGCAGTGAGAGAACTTCTGTCCTCTAGGGAGGTGCTAATCTAGCTTTTGCCCGAGGCTATCCAGCAAATGGCTCTGTGCAGGGCTTGGGCGGGGCGGGTCCCGGGGGATCTACAGGACAGGCTGAGCGAGCAGTTATTGCTGCTCTCAGTCCCGTCCCCGGGGGCTCTGCCTCTCAGAGTCCCAGCAACCGCTGCAAACCTCGGAGAGAAAGCTGCCTTCGAGTTCCAACCGAAGCCAGACAGTCCCGCTTCTCCCGTTTGAGTCTGGGTCCCTAGAGACTCGCCCGGATCTGGAGCTCAGAGTCTTAGACTCTCTCCTGATTGAAACAGACAACCGCGCCCTCAGCCGCCAGCCCTCTCCGCATGCACTCCGCACCTTAGTATTTTACTTCAGCACTGCGCCTCCTCTGAGTCTTGGTATGCTATTCTCTCTCCTCCTAGTTGTAGAACTTCCACTCAGCCAGCCTTCCTTTGGTTCTGGATGATGTCCGTTCCGTCTTTTAGTTGTATTTTTGAAGTGGTTGTTCGAGGCAGCAAACTCCAGCGTTAACCTATGCCGCCATCTTGGTTTTCTCCCATAAAAGTCTCCAGCTTCTGTCTCACATCAGATTTCTTAATGTCCCATTGGCCAAAGGATGTTTCATGGCAAAACTGAGATTTAAGGGAGTAGGGAAATAGATTACAATGTTACTGTTCCACTCTTCCCATCAAGAGGTGTAAAGATTTCTATATAAAGTGATGAGAGGAATATGGGCCTTTTTGCCATTCATTACAAGCCCAGAGGATTCCTAATGCGGAGAGGTTAGAATAGAGAAGAGAAACCAACCAAATAGAATATTCAGGGTCTGAGAGGAACATCAGTGACTTGTGATTTTTGGAAGGCAAAAAAGAATGAAGTTTAAAATGTTCACAATTAAAAGAATTTTGGCTGAATATGGGAAGTAGATACACTGTTTATATGACAACAGCTGAAATTTAAAACAAGATGTATACATTGTATGTATTAGAGAATAATAAAGCTTTACTGGAGGTGCAGGATCTTGTGTTAAATGACTTGGCTCTTTGTAGTTAATGATTTAAATTGGCCTTTCAGTAAAGCACACATTGCCACAAGTCATAATCTTTGAACCATCACTTTGAAATAGTTTAAATTGGGAATGTTAATTAATCCCAGGATGCCAGATTCTACCGTACTAAACATTTTGCATTTTGAAGGTTATGGAGTAAAGTAATAGTATTGAATCATTAAGTGGTCTTTAGAAATATTTTGCAAGTTTTTATTTCTGAAACATTTCAGGTATTTATGCAAGCTCTCTGATCAGGAGTTAAGACAGAGTGCGGCTCGCAACATGGCTGACTTAATGTGGAGCACAGTGAAAGAACCATTGGACACAACGTTATGCTTTGATAAAGAAAGCCTAGATCTTGCATTTAAGTACTTTATGTCACCTACTTTGACAATGAGGTTGGCTGGACTAAGTCAGATAACGGTAAGTTATACTTGCTTTATTTTTGTTTCATTTTTTACCTTTAAGACTGTCATCATCACCATAATAATGCCAACTTTTTACGGAGCACTTACCTTATGCCAGGCATTGTGCTAAGTATTTTACATGCATTATGTTGTATGGTTCTTAAAAAGAATTTTTGTGTTTTCCCTATTTTATTTTTATATTTAATTATTCTTTGTTAATCCTCACCTGAGGATATTTTTTTCCATTGCTTTTTTGAGAGTGGAAGGGAGGGAGGGAGAGGAGGAGGAGAGGGAGGTGAGAGAGAGAAAGAGAGCGAAAAACATCCTTGTGAGAGAGACACATTGATTGGTTGCCTCCTGCATGTGTCCCAACCAGGACCTGGATTTAACCTGCAACCTAAGAATTGCCCTTGACTTGCATTGAACCTAAGACCCTTCAGTGCTCTGGCCAACACTCAGACCACTTAGTCACACTGGCCAGGGCTGTATTTTCCTTATTTTAAATATGAAGAGACTGAGGCTTAGATTTAGAAGGACTTACACCTTAGGTCTTTTTTATTTCCGGGTCCAATTCCTTCACTTTTTTTTTTTTAACTCTTCATTTAGAAATCAGTGTTTTGATTGATTAGAGAATTAGAGATTATAAATTAGGTACTTAATTCATTGTCCAGGGAGAAACCACAAATTAATGGGCCATAGGCCAAATTTGACTAACAAAAATGTTCTGTTTGTACAGTAGCAAATATTGTTGTAAATAGGTCAAAATCTGTATTATTGACCTCTCTTGTGGGTGGGGCTGGGTGGGATGGGGAGGGAGTTGGTGTAGGGAGGAAGACTTGTTATCCTTGAGTCTGTATTGCATTAACAATTTGCTAGAGCTAAGTAATTAGCTGCACTCTTTAGAATGGATATGCTTTCTATGGTTTACTAAGGCCTCCCTTAACCTTACTTTTTATTTTCTGCCTGTTTTTATAGTGTAGTTATTCTGAAGTAGCTGGATTTTACTCATGTATTGGGGTTTGAGAATGTGGAAAATATTTGTTGACATTTTTCCAAATTAAATATTTTCTTTAATTTAAATTCTTTATTGTTTAAAGTATTACATATCATGTTTTTCCTCCATTGACCTCTCCCCAGTCGCTCCGATGCCCAGCACATGCCCTCACCCCCCTACTCTCTGTGCCCATTTGTTATGCTCATATGTATACATACAAGTCCTTTGGTCCATCTTTTACTCCCCTCCCCCCCTTCCCTCTTATTGGACGGTCTGTTTGATGCATCTGTGTCTCTGGCTCTATTTTTGTTCATCAATTTATGTTATTCATTATATTCCACAATTGAGTGAGATATGTGATATTTATCTTTCTCTGAATGGCTTATTTCACTTAGCATAATGCTCTCCAGGCCCCAAATTAAATCATTACTGTTTATTTAGTGGGCCTTTACAAACTTATATGTCTTTAAGAACATATTGTTGCCTTGCATTAGGTTTTTTTGTTTTTCTATGATTTAGATTTTCTCTGTAGGGTGCATAGTGGAATGAAGCATAATTAATACTTGTGGAATGAATTTATTTAATGTTTTAATATGATAAAGGAAATAGCCAGACTAGTTGGGAAGTGTATGTATTGATTCTCTATTTAAATTTTATAATTTTGTTCTGGTTATTGATTATGATCTGCAAATATCAAACCATGTTTCTTAACATTTGCTAACACATATAAGAATAATTTTGGCAAACTTTATTTTTCTAATTATAGAATCAACTTCACACCTTCAATGATGTGTGCAATAATGAATCATTGGTATCAGACACAGAAACGTAAGTAGGAGCATTACTTATACATAAATAATATTTAATGTGTGACTATTTACATGGTAAGTATAATTGTGACTTAGATTTGAAGTGTTCACTAGAAATTCTTTGCTTTTTGGTTTCATTTGTGCAGTCTTAATAAGATTTCAGAATAACATATTGAAACATTTCTCCATGTTTTTTTAAAAGCATATACCAAGCTCTAGCTGGTTTGTCTCAGTGGCTAGAGCATCGGCCTGCGGACTCAAGGGTCCCAGGTTCAATTCTGGTCAAGGGCACGTACCTTGGTTGTGAGTACATACCCACTAGGGAGTCTGCAGGAGGCAGCTGATCGATTTTTCTCTCTCATTGATGTTTCTAACTCTCTATTCCTCTCCCTTCCTCTCTGTAAAAAACCAACTATATATATATATATATATATATATATATATATATATATATATATATATATATATATAAAGCATATATCAACATAGTGTTTATTTGCAGGTTCAATTCCTCTCCAGGGCACGTACCTTGGTTGCAAGCTGGATCTCTGGTCCTGGTTGGGGTGCATGCAGGAGACAACCAATCAATGTATTTCTCTCACACTGATTTTTCTTTCTTTCTGTCTCTCCCTCCCATTTTCTAAAAAAAGCCTATGGAAAAATATTCTCAGTGAGGATTGACGACAAAAAAAATAAATAAATAAAATAAAATAAGTGTGAAGAGAAACATAAAAAAAAGACAAATCTGATAAAGGACTATTATTCAAAATATAAAAAGAACGGAAAACCCAGTAATAAAACAACCTGATTAGAAAATATGCCAAAGACTTTTAAAAAAATATTTTTTTATCGATTTCAGAGAGAATAAAGGAGAGATAGAGAGTTAAAACATCATTGATCAGCTGCCTCCTGCACACCCCCTACTGGGGATTGATCTCGTAATTGGGGCATGTGCCATGACGGAATTGAACCATGACCTCCTGGTTCATAGTTCTATACTCAACCACAGAGCCAGACTTTGGGCAGCAGACACCTTATCAACGAAGATAGACAGTCCTGGCTGATTTGGCTCTGTGGATAGAGCTTCGGCCTGCAGACTGAAGGGTCCCAGGTTCAATTCTGGTCAAGGGCACTATTAAAAAAAAAAAAAAGTTGTACAGATAGTAAGTACATAAGCACAAAAAAAGATGCTCCACATCATCCTTTGTCAGGGAAATGCAAATGAAAATAACAGTGAGATTCCATTACACAACTATTAGGAACGCTCAAAATCCAGAATATTTAAACCACCAAATGCAGACAAGGATGTGATGCAGGAGGAAGTTTCATTCATTGCTGGTGGGAATTCAAGAAGGTGCAACTACTTTGGAAGAAAGTTTGCAGTTTTGTACAAAACTCAGCATCCTCTTATCACATGATCCAGCAATCATGCTCTCTAGTATTTAAAGAGGTGGAAAACATGCCCACACAAGAACGTGCACACAGATATTTATAGCAGCTTTAGACATCATTGCCAAAACCTAGAAAGAACCAATGGCCATTGATAAATGCAACAAATGGATAAATCTTATTTTGAGTGAAAGAAGCCAGTTAAAAAAAAAGTGCATACTTTATCACTTTTTTAAAATATAAAATTCTAGAAAATGAAAACACCTACACTAATAAAAGAAAGATGCTAATTGACCGTACCTTCGCTACGCCCACCAGCCAGAGGGACTATATGCAAATTAACCCAACCAAGATGGTGGTTAATTTGCAAATACTGGCTGGGAGAGAAGAATGAAGACAACATGGAAGCGAAGCGCTGCAGAAGGGAGCAAAGTAGAGGTGGTGGAGACAGGAACGGAGCCTAGGCGGCGGAGTGGCGGGAGGGAAACTAGCCAGGTGGCGGCGGAGGGGCGGGAGGGAAGCCCGCCTCAGCGGGTTTAGCTCCCTTCTCTGCTTCGCTCCAGCCACAGGAAACCCTATTCTTGCAGGAATCTTCCTGCAACGGGCCTCTAGTATATAGTAATACAAAGCAGGTTGCTAGTTGGGGAATTGGGTTGTGGGGGCTGGGTAACAAAAGGGGCATAGAGAAAGTTTGGGTCGATTATGTATTATCTTGATGGTGGTGATAGATACATAGATACATACTTAAGCTTTACCTCATCAGACTGCACATTTCAAATACAAGGTTGGGCAAAAATAGGCTTAAAGTTGTTCATGTGGAAAATAATGCAATATTATACGAGCACAAATTGTTTCACATACTCATAACTGTAAACTTACTTTTGCCCCACCCTATAAGTTCAGTATTAGATGTTATGTATATCTCAAAATATTTAAAAGACAACTGATAAACCCATACTGCCTTATTGGGAGAACTAACATAAATAGGTTAAGTTGTATGCCAGTCAGTGAGTTGTTAGTCTAAGAGAGAATAGCTTTTATTTATTTATATTTAAAATATATTTTTGATTTTAGAGGAAGGGAGGAGAGAGAGATAGAAACATCAATGATGAGAGAGAATCATTGACTGGCGGCCTCCTGCACGCCCCACAATGGGGACCGAGCATGCAACCTGGGCATGTGCCCTTGGCGGAATCGAACCCAGGACCCTTCAGTCTGCAGGCCAATGCTCTATCCATTGAGCGAAACCAGCTAGTGCGAGAATAGCTTTTAGATAGTTCTTAAAAAAATGAAAGGTAATCAGAATGAGTGTATGTATCCCTATGTTGATAACAGTGCTATTTACAATAGCTAAGATCTGAAACGGCCCAAGTGCCCATCAGTAGAGAGTATGAAAAAGATGTGGTATATTTACACAATGGAATACTATGCAGCTGTGAATAAGGATTCCTTACCTTTGAGACAGCATGGAAGAACCTGGAGAGTATTATGTTAAGAGAAATAAGCCAGTCAGAGAAAGACAGCTATCACATGAGCTCACTCATTTGTGGAATTTAATAAACAAAATATTGTGGAATTTAATAAACAAAATAAACTTATGAACAAAACAGGTCCAGACACATGGAAGCATGGAATATACTGACGAATCTCAGAGGGAATGGTGGAGGGCGGGGGGGGGGGGGGCGTTTAATGGGAAGAGATTAACCAAAAAGTTTATATGCATATATGCATAACCCATGGACACAGATAATAGTTTTGGGGAACCCCTGGGGCGAGGGCGGGAGTGGGGTGAAGGGGGTAAATGAGGGGAAAAAAGGGACATCTGTAATACTTTCAAAAATAAAGATAAATTTTTAAAAAGAAGGGTAATCTAAAACCATTCTAAAATAAGATTATTTTTTTGAAATGATGGCTAAGATGTTGGTAAATGTAAGTTATTCTGAACGATCAGTTGATATCTTTGGACTCCATTAGTGGAATCATAGTATCAGGCAGGAAACTTGTAGCTTGGCTTGGAAATAATTGTTTTCATCCTTTTGGTAATCTACATTCGGAAACATTCCCTGAACACTTCAGCCTATGGAAATTAAAAAGTGGGAAGGCAAAGTCCTTGAATAGGAAAATACATCACTTATTTGGTTTTATACTTGGTGTTCTCACCTGTGTACTTGGAGTTAGTTGTTATCCTAACTTTCCAGGACTTTTTTTTACTTGTTTATAAAATTAGGTAATATTTTATTTTGTTATTCTTTGTGTAGTAACTTAAACAGTTAATTGTGTATAATCACTTTTTTCTAATTTGTAGGTGAACAAATTGAGATTTTCAACTGTGTCTGCCTTTTAGACATGGGAATGAGTGATGACTAATGTTTTGTTGTTGTTTTTGATCACTAATATTTTTTAATGTATTAACTATTTTTTAAATTTGATTTTAGGTCCATTGCAAAAGAACTTGCAGACTGGCTTATAAGCAACAATGTAGTAGAACATATATTTGGACCAAATTTACATATTGAGGTTTGTGGATGATTATATGACTTTTCTGCTCTATTAAGACAGGAGAATATTTCCAAAGATTAACTATAGTAAGTTTTTTTTTTTTCCAGATTATCAAACAGTGCCAAGTGATTTTGAATTTTTTGGCAGCTGAAGGGCGACTGAGTACTCAGCATATTGATTGCATTTGGGCTGCAGCACAGGTAATATTAACAGCTCACATTTATTGAGTACTTTCTCTTTATGTGTTCTAAGTCCCTTAGTCCCCTAGGAGGTTAGTTCTGTTATCCCGTTTTATAAAGAAACTGAGATATGGTTTGGCTCAATGGTTGAGTGTTGACCTACATTTTTATTTATTTATTTGTTTTTATATTAATGATATGTACATAAATTTAATTGGGATCCTTATAGTTAAAAAATTAAGCTAATGGTTTGTTTGGATAAGAAAATCCTGCTTATGTAGAATTTCAAAATTGTATGTATTGCCATTTATGATATTTGGTAATTAGCATTTACCAACATACTAAAAAAATATTAGTGTACCAGTTACCTTGGCTTTTAAAACTATATAACTTAAAAAAGTATAAACTGGCCCTAGTCGGTTTGGCTCAGTGGATATAGCGTCAGCCTGCGGACTCAGGGGTCCCAGGTTCGATTCCGGTCGGGGGCATGTACCTTGGTTGCGGGCACATCCCCAGTTGGGGGTGTGCAGGAGGCAGCTGATCGATGTTTCTCTCTCATCGATGTTTCTGACTCTCTATCCCTCTCCCTTCCTCTCTGTAAAAATTCAATAAAATATATTTAAAAAAAAAAGTATAAACTGCGTAACTTTTTTGATACCAAATTATTTAGTTATGTAGGGTAATTATTTTTGACTCTTGTTTCTACCTTTATTTTGTAGTTGAAACATTGTAGTCGGTATATACATGATTTATTTCCTTCACTCATCAAGAATTTGGATCCAGTACCACTTAGACATCTTCTTAATCTGGTCTCAGCTCTTGAGCCAAGTGTTCATACTGAGCAGGTAATTTATTCAAAACATAATGATAGTTAATTATTTTTCATACACATTAAATATGAAAATTTATTTGTGATTCAGATGATTTAACTTGTAGCTTATTACTGTTAACATTTTAATTAGGCATAAGGATATTAAATTTGTTATCATGTTGCCTAAAATTTCTCTCTCTCTTTTTTTTTTTAAAGACATTGTACTTGGCATCAATGTTAATTAAAGCATTATGGAATAATGCACTAGCAGCTAAGGCTCAGCTATCTAAACAGAGCTCTTTTGCATCTTTATTAAATACTAATCTTCCCATGGGAACTAAGAAAGGTTAGTAAAGTATTTTAGTTGTGCAAAGTTTATAACTATAAAATATATTTTCTGCTTAGTAGTTCAGTTCAACCTTAATTTCAAACTAAGTTTGAGATAGACACTATAGTATTTGTGAAAGGGTGAATAAATTGGAGTTGCTTCATCTTTCTGGCTATAATTTCAGGCGTTTTATATGTGCTTTTATGTGTATATATATATATATATAGCTTTCTAGGACTTTCTAAAACTTTATCAACTTTACCCCAATTTTTGTCTCCTGACATCATATACTACTATTTTCTTAGGCTTTTCTGTGCAGGGACCCACAACTACCACTACAGGTGGTGGAGACTTAACATTATTGCAGATTTCCCTACCGGTACCTTGTTGACTATGTAATAAGAACAACTGATAAGCTGTCCCAAAGAAGCCCAGTCATTTAGAATATTCCCTCCTGTTTTTTCCTTTTCCCTCAGAGGAAGAAGAGCTGAGAAGAGCAGCTCCATCACCTTGTAAGTTGAGTCTAGATGTGCATGGCGCCATGGCTTCCCTTTCCTAGAGATAATCACAGTTAACTGATTTCATGTATTTGTATCAGTCATAAAGGCCCTTTTGAGCAAAAGAAGTATACCCTTAAGTAGTTATCCAACTCACCCTTTTGTTTAATAAACTGTTGGTAATCTTGACTTAATTGAAATCGTGTATATCCTCTTGGCAAATGTTAACATATTTACAGATTATATTTTTGGCTACTTAGCATGAAGCTTTGGTAAATCAAAGAACCAAAGGACTGTGCCATTCTGATAGATCCATGTTAATATAAAGTAGGAGTAAGACAAAAAATCTATTTAATATAGGGTCACCTGCAGCTAGTCCTCAAAGCAGTGATAACAGTGATACCCATCAAAGTGGAGGCAGTGACATTGAAATGGACGAGCAACTTATTAATAGAACCAAACATGTGCAACAGCGACTGTCGGACACAGAGGTAAGAAACCTGCGCGCCCGCCCCCCCCCCCCCCCAAGTGATTTTTGGGTTTCTGCCATGTTTATGCTTTGAACTGGGAATATAAAAGGCGATCTATGTTCAGGCCTAATCTTTCTCTTATGTGGTATTATTGAGATCCTTTATATTTTTTTTGGTTGGAGTTTTTAATTCCATTTTGTATTCTAAGGCAGCGGTTCTCAACCTGTGGGTCACAACCCCTTTGGGGGTCGAACGACCCTTTCACAGGGGTCGCCTAAGACCATAGGAAAATATATATATAATTACATATTGTTTTTGTGATCAATCACTATGCTTTAATTATGTTCAATTTGTAACAATGAAATTGGGGGTCACCACAACATGAGCAACTGTATTAAAGGGTCGCAGCATTAGGAAGGTTGAGAACCACTGTTCTAAGGAATGAGTCAGCACTGTGGCAGCCTTTTAAAAATAAGTGTGTTAATATCAGTTACTTTTTCTTACTAGTGTAAATATTTATTTAAATCTGTTTGTTTTTGAATACAGGAATCCATGCAGGGAAGTTCTGATGAAACTGCCAACAGTGGTGAAGATGGAAGCAGTGGTCCTGGTAGCAGTAGTGGGCATAGTGATGGATCTAGCAATGAGGTGAATTCTAGCCACGCAAGCCAGTCAGCTGGAAGCCCTGGCAGTGAAGTACAGTCAGAAGACATTGCAGATATTGAAGCCCTTAAAGAAGAAGATGAAGATGATGATCATGGTCATAATCCTCCTAAAAGCAGTTGTGGTACAGATCTTCGGAACAGAAAGTTAGAAAGTCAAGCAGGCATTTGCTTAGGGGATTCCCAAGGCCCATCAGAGAGAAGTGGGACAAGCAATGGAACAGGAAAAGACCTGGTTTTTAACACTGAGTCACTGCCATCAGTAGATAATAGAATACGAATGCTTGATGCATGTTCACACTCCGAAGACCCAGGACATGATATTTCAGGGGAAATGAATGCTGCTCATATAGCACAAGCATCTCAGGAATCATGTATTACACGCACTGGGGACTTCCTTGGGGAGACTATTGGGAGTGAATTATTTAATTGTCGGCAGTTCATTGGTCCACAGCATCACCACCATCACCATCACCATCACCACCACCATGATGGGTAGGTCTACTTTAAAAAACAGCTACATTTCTTTTAGGGAAGTAATTTTGTCTTATACTTATTAAATTACAATTATTATAGATCAGTGTTGTCCAATAGGTATATAATACCAACTACAAATGCATGCAACAAATATGCAGTTTTTAATTTTCTGTTGGGCACATTTTAAAAAGCAGAATGAGCCTGGCCGATGGCTCAGTTGATTGAGCGTCATCCCGTACAGCATAAAGGTTGTGGGCTTGATTCCTGATCAGGGCACATACCTAGTTAAGATTGCTGGTTTGATCGCTGGTAAGGGTGCATTGCATATAGGAGGCAACTAATGGATGTCCTTCTCCCTCCCTTCTCCTCCATCCTCCCTTTCTCTCCCTCCTTCTCCCCTTTCACCTTCTCCCTCCCCCTCTCCCTTCCTCTCTCCCCTTTTTCCCCTTCCCCCTCTCTCTAAAATCAATAAAAATATTCTCAGGTGAGGATTAAAAAGGCAAAATGAAACAGAAGAGGTTACTTTTAATCATTAATTTTATTTAAAACAATATATAAGATATCTTCACATGTAACAGGGATAATAAGATTTTTCTTGTACTGTCTTCAATATTCTGTGTATATTCTGTGTATATTTTATACTTAAATCACATCTCAGTTTAGACCAGCCACTTTAAACAATTTTTTTTTTAAGTTTATAGTTTATTAATCCTCTCATGAAAAATCTGCACAACCATCACAGATAAAGTCACCGAAGAATCTTTACTCCTTCTTTTTGCCATCACCAACGTTGGCCTTTGCAGTCCCTCTGACTTTCTTCATTCTGTTCTTGCGTTCCTTTCTCTGTTTTCTTGAGGTCGTCTTCTTCTCATATAGGCCATGTCTTGCAAGTCTGTGTTTGGGTTCGTTTTTCTTTGCGTAATCCAAGGAATCATAAATCATGCCAAAGCCAGTGGTCTTGCTACCACCAAAGTGGGTTCTGAATCCAAACACAAAGATGACATCAGGTGTGATCTCATACATTTTGGCTAGTTTTTCCCGGATTTCTATCTTGGGTACTGTTGCCTTCCCAGGGTGAAGGACATCAATGACCATTTGCTTCCGCTGAACTAGTCTGTTGGTCATGAACTTCCTGGTCCGGATGGTTACTGTGTCATTCATGATGAAGGTTGGTCTTCAGGCAGCCAGGGAGGAAAAGAGCTAAACAATTATTTCATTTTAAATTATGGCTGATGTGCAATATTATATTAGTTTCCGATGTACAGCCTCATGATTAGACATTTATGTAACTTACCAAGTGAGCACCCTGATAAATGTAGAACCCGTACGACATCATACGTAGCTATTTTTGACTACATGCCCTGTGCTATGCTTTACATAACTGTGACTATTAGTTTAAATCCCTTCACATTTTTCACCCATCTCCCCAACCTCTGTCCAATCAATCTGGCAGCTCTGTTTGTTCTATGTATTAGGTAATGCCGCTACATCTATGTGACTTGGTGTAGAATGGCCTTATGTGGTAGGTGTCCTGTTCTGTAAGGCCCAGTCGCACAGCCTTCACGGTCACCTGAGCTGGGCATTCCAGGTGTGCTCCTGTGTGTGCTGTGTGTCCTGCCCTGTTGCAGTTGAGTTGGTTGCTGTTAACCATGCACTGGGAGGGATTGAACCCAAGCCAATCGGCTGCAAGGTCTGGCTGCTATTGCAGTGGAGCTGCTGTGCAAGGGCCAACTCCATGGAGAAGGCCTTCCTTCAGTGGGACTATGGTGCCAGCTATGTCTGCCCCTTGAGTATTTGCTTATGGGGCAGAAGCTGTCCATCAGGTACATTGGCTCTGCGGCTTCCCAAGAGGTGCAAGGAAAGCCACCACATGCTGCTCAGGCCCACCCAGCATGAGCTACAGGGTAATTAGTAGATGGTTGTTAATTGTGCTGGGCTTCAGGGTGCCTGGGAGAGACCAATCTGCAAACCGAAGCTGGCCTCTAGTGGCAGACCTTGGGCTGCTTAGCAAGAGGTATGGAGTACACAAAGTCCAGATGCTGCTTGAGAGATTTTATGAAAGTTTGATGCATGAGTTAAGAGATTCCATTTGTATGGAAAAACCATTGGGAATGACTTGGATGGGCCCAAAAGTTGAGTGGGTTGGGGGGTCTCAGGGAATCACCAAGGTGGGATGAACAATGTTAGCCCAGTTGGGAGACTCAGATATGGTGCTCACCTGCTGGCTCTGTGGGGGTAGGGCTCAGCAAAGGAATAACAGCCTCAGATAGCACTTCTATCTTGGAAAAAGCGGCACCTTTAGCTCTTGTCCTGAAGCCAGACGATTTAGTTCCTCCCCATGTGTCCCTGGCACCTTTCGCGATAAAGCCCCAGCATTAGATCTCAGAGCGAGCTAGCAAGTATGTCAGTCAGTGTGCAGTGCCTTTAAGAGAAACTTCAGCCTAGGAGCCCTTTGTTTTAGCCACAATCCCAGCTGGTTTTTACAGCCAGAAGTTATAGGGACTTCTCTTCTAGCCACAGGAATCCTGAGCTGGGGGTTCTGATTGGGGTTGGAACCCATCGCTGCTTAGGGGAGACCTCTACAGCCAAGATATCCCTCCTCACTTTTAACTACCACACGTGGGTGTGAGACCAGCCTGTTCCATGTCTCTGCCCCTTTTACTATTCTGGACATGCTTGTTTATATCCTTAGTTGTAGGATTTCTGTTCAGCTAGATTTCAGGTATTCTGAATGACCAATGTTCTGTAATATAGTTGTAAATTTGATGTGCTTGTGGAAGGTTCCGAATACCATGTTTACCTACTCTGCCATCTTAACTGGAACTCAGCCACTTTGTACATGTGCAGTGGCCACATGTAGCTGGTGGCTCTCATTGGACAACACAGATCTGTATCTTCAACTCCTTATAATAATTGCTTAAAAGCAGGTGTAAAATTGCTTTTGGAAATTTACATGAAAGTATGATAGTGAAACGGGAAACTATACATAATCCTAATTTTAGGGTATTAATAAGCATAAAGCTTCTTGATTATTTGTGAAATACACCTATGGTATTTAATAGTAATAGTAATTCTGTCACTAGTGATAGTAATTTTTCTGTTCTTTGTTTTAATAAAATAAACAATACTACTTATGTCATTGGTTTATTGTGAGCATTTCATAGACTAATATGATTGGCATATAAGATCTCAGTATATGTTAGCTACTATTTATTATTACTATCATTGCCCGTAGTAATGTTTGAGTTGATGAAGTACAAACATGTGTTTTATCAGGATGAGTTTTCTTAGACTTGACAATTTGCCAGGCCTTTCACAATTTAATATGGTTGTTGGGGAGAACTACGTATTCATATATATTGCTACTTTATTTCCTTTGCTTTTTTATTCTTATCAGTAACCCATATGAGTTGAAGGTAATGTTTCTCAGCCTTGGCAGTCTTCACATTTTGGCCCAGATAATTCTTTGTTTTGTATTTGCACCAATGTGAATGCTGTCCTATGCATTGTAGAATTAGTAGCATCCCTAGCCTCTATCCTTAGATGCCAGCATCATCTGTCCAGTTTTGATCACCAGAAATGGCTCTAGACATTGCCAGATGTCCCTCCCAGGGGCCAAAATCACTCCTGATTGAGAACCACTGGTTAAGGTCTGTCTTTATAGATAGGTATTCAAAGTTTTCTCCTTGAGAGCTCATACTGTTATATTGCAAATATCTTTTAGTTTTCCCAAACCAAACTCGTCTCACAAGACCTAATGATTTTATCTTTGTTAGCACTTTCCATATGCTCTTCATTTGGTACTACTACCTGTGAGTCTCTAAGTTAGTCTTGAACATTTTTTCTTCATGTTATTTTTTCATTCTTTTGTCTTTATATCAGAGTAGCCAGGATAGTATGTTTTAGAAGTGAGTGCTTAATTGGTGTTTATTGAGTTAAAAGTGCCCCAATTAATATTAATCACATTTAAATTGCTATCTTAAATTGAAAAAAAATTTTTTTGGTAGTTATCTCACTTGATTCTGCAGTTGTATAAGTAAATGTAAACAAATTTTAAGGTTCCTCATATTGTGATTTGAGTTTATAAAATAATTATGTAAAAGTAAGTTTACTGACCTACTCTGCAATTACTCTCTTTGAAGTGTGTTGATGAACCATAAAACATGTAGGTATATTGTAAAATTAATATATAGTTCTGACGTGGGTTTTTTAGTTTTTGTAAAGCTCTTAACATACTGTCTTATTAAAAAACAAATGTAGCTTTATTCTTGAGTGTGAATAACTTGTGCCAAATGTTTTGAGAGATATTTTTGTTATTCAGAAACTGTTTAAATATCTAATTAGTAACTTTGTGCTCTTCTGTGTTATAGGCATATGGTTGATGATATGCTAAGTGCAGATGATGTCAGCTGCAGCAGCTCCCAGGTCAGTGCAAAATCGGAAAAAAATATGGCTGATTTTGATGGTGAAGAATCTGGGTGTGAAGAGGAGCTAGTTCAGATTAATTCACATGCAGAGCTAACATCTCATCTTCAACAACATCTTCCCAATTTAGCATCTATTTACCATGAACATCTTAGTCAAGGTAAGGTTCTGTAGTAAGTAAAATATATTACTTTCTTTAAAATAGGAATAATCTATATTACATTGTTAAAATGAATCAAAAATTAATGTCACTTAAATGTTTTTGCCAAATAAGTTTTATGTGGGAGTTTTCTTTTTGAGTGAATTAAATTGTTATGAATACTCCATCACGAATATAAAGGCTGCAGTTCCATCAAGAGATACTTAATTAGAAGAAATATAAAAAATATGTATAAAAATTATAGCTTTGTATTTTAGAACATAAGTAACTTTATTAGATTTTATATTAAGCAGTCATAGGATCAGAAAGTAGGAGATTACACAGGATCAGATATTGCATAATTCAGTTTATATAAAATGTATAGCCTGGGGCTAGGGATAATTAGAAAATAAGAGGAGGTGTGACTGCTAAAGGGCAAGGTGTTTCTTTCACCTGGGATGATAAAATCTTCAAAAATGATGTTCTAATCACTCTGAATAAATCTAAAGTAATAGGACAGACCAGATTTGGAAGAATGGAGTTGAGAAGGGGTTAAAGAATAATAGAAGAAAAAGGAGGAAAGAAAAAATGAAGAGAAAAACAGTTTTAGAATTGCCAGTTTTAAGGTCTATATCCTACCTCTTGTTTGGTTAGGTGCCATCAGCACTTGCTAGTCTATGAAATTGGTTTTGGGATGATAGTACATTGCAAACTAAGTAAACCTGGTCAATTAGATTTAGTCTAAAAGGTCATGATTAAACTTGGAGATAGAACTTGTGGACCTTGGTAGCAATTTACTGATTTCAAATGTTACTTGTACATAACTTAGATAAGGTTACCGTTTTTTAAAATTGTGCTATTGTGATTGCTCATAACTGAATAGGTTAAGATTTGATACTACATTAATACATTTTGACCATTCTTCTATTCTTAATTCATTTTCCTTTTATTAAGTAGTGTACATATTGTTTACTCTATGGAGTTAGAAGTTGAGCAAAATTATTAAATGTATTAATGCTGTCCAAATTCACCTTGCAATACAATGTATTTAATACTGTAAAGAACTCTTCCAACACATTAAGACACTCCAATTTGGAAATGATCAAAATATTGCCGAAACCGATTTGGCTCGGTGGATAGAGCATCGGCCTGCGGACTGAAAGGTCCCAGGTTCGATTCCGGTCAAGGGCATGTACCTGGGTTGTGGGCACATCCCCAGTAGGAGATGTGCAGGAGGCAGCTGATCAATGTTTCTCTCATCATCAATGTTTCTCTCTATCTCTCTCCCTTCCTCTCTGTAAAAAATCAAAAAAATATAAAAAAAAAACAAAAAAAACCACCAAAATATTTGAACAGTTAATACATAAAAGAAGATATAGAAATGGTCAATAAATACATGAAAAGATTCTCAATATCTCTAGTCATCTAGAAAATGCTAGTTGAAACCAGAATGCTACACACCTGCTGGAATGGGTAATATTAAGGCTAATGATAATGAATGATGCTAAGGATATAGAGAAATTAGAACTCTTGTAAATTGCTGTCAGGGAGTATAGAAAAGTATGGCTAGTTTGGGAACTATTTTATTAGTTTCATATTAAGTTAAACATGTACCTACCATATGACCTAGCAATTCCTGTTCTAGGTATTTATTCAAGAGAAATGAAAACATATTCACAAAAATATACATGAATGTTCATATCTGCTTCATTCATAAGAGCCTCAGCTGGAATTAACTGGTAGATAAACAAAGTGAATATTTCCAGTGTAATACTACTCAATAAAAAGGAAGGAACTACCGATACAGTGCAACACAGTGGATGAATATCAAAAACATTATAAGCAAATGAAGTTAGAAAGACGAGTATATGCTGTATATAATTTATATTCATTTCTATAGTATTCAAAATTAATTTATTATGATTGAAATCTACTCAGTGGTTACTTGAGATTTGGTGGTGGGGATTGTAAAAGGTCACAAGGAAACTTTGGGGTGATAAAAATGTTCTGTATCTTATGCATTTATGTTATATTTTAATAAAATTAATTTTAAAAAGTAAATACCAAAAAGTCAAGCCTCAGTAGTAAGGCAACATAATTAAAAAGTGGGGAATGATTTATTTCACAAAGAAGGTACATAAATGGTTAATAAGCAACTCAACATCAGTAGTTATTAGAAAAATGCAAATAAAAACCACAATGAGATTCTATTTCACACCTATTAGATTAGCTAAAATTAAAAAGACAAGTACAATATGATTTCACTCATGTGGAATCTAATGAACAAACTGAACTACTAAAATAGATTCATAGATAGCAGGCAGACAGTTCTAGGGGGAGGCTGCAGAGGTGAAGGAATTGTGTAAAAAAAAGAGAAAGAACTCATGGACACAGACAATAGTGGTGATTGCAGGGACAAGGGAAATGGATGGGGATGGAAGAGGGTATGGGGGGGATAAATGGTGATGGGAAAAAATAAATAAAATAGCTATTTGTAAAAAATCTAAAAAAACATTAACCTAATGGATGACTAGAAAATACATATGTATGCATTTATTGTTCAAGACACTTTTAGAAATGGAATTTATATAACTGGGAAGCAAATCATTATTTTAAATGGAGCAGAATAAAGAGTAGACTCTTAAAAAAAAAGTGACCAAAGAGTGTTGGGAAAGGATGTGGAGGAGCAGGAACTTGAACTCTTAATATACTGTTGGTGGGAATGTACAATGGCACAGCCATGTCAGAAAAGAGTTTGGCAGTTTGTTTCTAGTAAATGTACATTTATTTACCTTTTGATCCATTAACTCCTAAGCATTTACCCAAGAGAAAGGAAAACATATATCCATAAAAAGACTTGTTACACAGATGTTTATGGCAGCATTACTCACGTTAGCCCCAAACTGGAAACTATCCAAATGGTCATTAACTGGTGAATGTGTAAATAAAATGCACTATTTCCACATATGACATATTATTCTGTAATTAAAAGGAACACACTATTTTGATACATGCTTCAAAATGGATTAACCTCAATGAACATTTTGCCCAGTGAACAAAGTTAGACATAAGACTATACCCCTCCTACTGTGTGATTCTATTTACATGAAATTTCTAGAAAAGGCTAATAATTTTTGGGGTTGAATAAAGACGGGGCTAAGGAATGAGAACAGGGATTAATTGGAATTGGGTATTAGGGAATGTTTCAGGATGGTGAAAGTGTTCTAAAACTGTGTTGTGTTGATGGTGTTACAATTCTTATTTTATGAAATCAATGTATGAGTACATTCCAGTAGAGAAATTTCGTCGTAAAGCTGTTTAAAAGACAAAAGCAATGGAGCTTTTTGCTTAATATAACAGAATTAGTGAGAATTTATTTAGCCTGGTACTCAGAAAGTATGAATTATTTCAATAGAGTTTTTGAATGTGAAGTTTTGGGTAAGTAATATCCAATCTAATTTAAAATTTTTTTTAGTGTAAGAATATAAAACAACTATATAGAAAGTCAGTTAGAAGACTGTCCCTTGGCTATAGAATTAATTTACGTAAGTTGTCTTCTTTATGCTTAATTTGGGTTTTAAGTATTTATGTATAGTTCTCCTGACCTGTGAAAAAAACATTAAGTCATACTTGATTATAAGTAGTGAAGAGACTATGGAAAGAAAACTTTTCTCACTTTAGTCTAATCAAACTTTAAACAATACTATTCTTTGCCATTCATAAAGCAACTATTGTGCTAATCTTGTATTGATTTTATTTTGTTATATAAAAAGATATTGTTATACTTTTGATTTGTTAACTTTATGAATGCTTTAATTCACATCACAATTTTAGTCAGCTGTCTTCCTCTACAATGTGTTGTACTTTGCCCCCTCAGGTCCTGCAGTTCATAAACATCAATTCAACAGTAATGCTGTGACAGACATTAATTTGGATAACGTTTGCAAGAAAGGAAACACTTTGTTGTGGGATATAGTCCAAGATGATGATGCAGTAAGTTATTTAATGGAACCAAAGACTGCAAAATTACTGCAAAATGCCCTCAGAATAAATAGTAACTTTATGTATTTTTTGTAGGTTAACCTTTCTGAAGGATTAATAAATGAAGCAGAGAAACTTCTCTGTTCCTTAGTATGTTGGTTTACGGATAGACAGATTCGAATGAGATTCATTGAAGGTTGCCTTGAAAATTTAGGAAACAACAGGTAAATAGGAATTTAAAAATTTTTTTTATGTAGTAGCCAAAGTTCATTTTGTATATTATTGACTAGGTGTGGTGAAATCAAAGCATTTATGTGTAATTATCAACCTATTTTTTAGTAATTGTGGTTTTCTTCATACTATGTTTAAAGACTTCCTTTTCAGGGTTCATATTTTATCACACAGTTTTGCTTTTTTTCAGCACTTTATTTTATTTGGCACTCTTGTTTAGATTCCCACCAAGAGAAACAAAGAAATAATAACACTCTCTTCTTGATTCTGAGAACATATTGGTGATTACTGTGTGTTCACATTGCAGTTAAATATTCTTAAACTGTGTCATATTACATATAAAGGAAGCTAAATAAGATAAGTAAAGTAAACTTAAGCTGAAATATAAACATTTTGATAATGGCATTGTTCTTTCATTTGGGTGGATCATTGTTCGTTCGTTTGTGTCTTGATTTTTGTAAAATATAAAGATTTAGGTTAGTGTTTTTTCTCTAGTTTAAATTCTGTGCCCTATATTTATAATCTCCTTATCAGATAGAGCTCAAATGGTTACCACCAGTTTCTTGAATTTTATTTTTGGTTAATCCTCACTTGAGGATAATTCTTCCATTGCTTCTTTTTTTAAAAAAAAAAAATATTATTGATTTCAGAGAAGAAGGGAGAGGGAAGGAGGGATAGAAATATCAGTGATGAGAGAGAATTATTGATCGGCTGCCTCTTGCACGTCCCCTACTAGGGATTGAGCCTGCAACCCAAGGCATGTGCCCTTGATCAGAATCGAACCCGAGACCCCTCAGTCCACAGGACGATGCTCTATCCACTGAGCCAAATTGGCTGGGGCCATTGATTCTTAGAGAGAGTGGTGGAAGGGATGGAGGGGCAGGGGAGAGAGAGAAACATCGATGTGAGAGAGACACATTGATTGGCTGCCTCCCGCACATGCCCTGACCCAGGCCTGAATCGGGCCTGGAACCCCCAGGTACATGCCCTTCACCGGGAATTGAACCTGGACCCTTTTAGGCTGATGCTCCAACCACCGAGCCAAACTGGCCAGGGCTCTTTATTAATATTTTTTAACTTCTGTTCTATTGTATAATTTCAGGTTTTTCTTTTCTCATACTGCTTTGATGATGGTTTATTTTCTGGCATAGTAAATTCAGTTATTAATATGTTATTTATATTAATATAATGTTTTCAGCTTACCTCTCCCCAAGACTGATATAAATGTCTAATTTTATTGAATATTTAAGTGCGTCAAAAAAGTTTTTTTTTACTTAATTGAATTAATACACTTCATTAAGACACTGTATGTGTAATATTTTCTACTTTTGGTCTTTAAAGAGCTAAAATTTGAACAATCAAATAGAAAATAGCTTTTTCATGCAGGTTTGAGAAATCACTAATAGAACTTCTTTTAGTGGATCAATAGCCTCATTTAGCATTTTTCGTTTACAGGAATGTTGTTAATGGTTGGATCATATTTCATCATTCACATAGGTATTATAGTAGTTAATTTAAAAATGATAATTATCTTTTAAAAGTCTTTGTGAAACCACCAAACATTTTTTAAAGTGGTTTTATACTTAACCAGAAATTAAGAGGATGGGTTTGGAATCAGATTGCTTGACCAACTTCACTTTGTGATTTTTGGTGCAACACTTGTATTTCCTATGTAAAAATGAGAATAATATTAGAACCTATTTTGTAGGGTTGTTATGAGGATTAAATTAAAAAAATACATGTGAGGAAGTTATTGTCAATAGTTGTATTAGATCTTAATGCTTCTACATTTATAATTATATATATGAAATGGTGGCTTTTTTTCTGTTTAAAAATGTTAATTGTAGAATATGTGAAAAAACAAAACACAAAGAAAAATTTTAACTATCCATAATCTCATAACCTCAAAGAACCATTTATATGACTTAATAAAAACACATATGAAGGTATGTGTCTATATCTTTTGTTGGTAGCATGCTATACATTGTTTTTAATCTTTTAAAAATTATCATTTAATATTGTTTTTCCAATCTAAATATTTGTTCTTTTCCAACTGTGTGATAAAAACAGTTAAAATTAAAAAAATAAAGTTTTAATAAATTTTATATTCCTCATATGTGTATCTGCATACCCTGTGACCCAGCAATTTCACTACAAAGTATGTGCTCTAAGAAATTCATCCCCATGGTTACCAAAAGACATTCCAGAAAGCACTATTCAAAATAACTAAATATTCTTTGTGTAACTGTCCAAATGCCAAAAAAGAATAGGAAGGAAAATCAAATTTTGGACTGTTGAGTGATATAATATATATATAGCAATAATAATAAATGAACTACAACTGCACAAAATAGTGAGGGTGAATCTCAGACACATAATGTTGAGTGAAAGAAGTCAGGTGATCTATCTTTAATTTTATAATGTTTAAAAACATGAAAACTATTATATTTAGTAGTCAGGATAATGGTTACTCTTGTGTTGTTAGTGTCTGGAAAGGGGCACAATGAAAGCTTCTGGTGTGCTGGTAATTTATTGATAGTGCTGGTTGCACAGGTATGTTCACCTAATATTTTGAACTATTACTTAGCTTTATATATGTTTTTGCATGTATGTTATACTTCAATAAAAAGAAAAAACTGAAAGATAAAATATGTAGTCTTTTAGAGTCTTGTTTTCAAAGATTAAAAATAACACTAGAGGTTCGGTGCACGGATTTCGTGCACTCTAGGGGGCCCCTCAGCCCGGCCTGTGCCCTCTCGCAGTCCAGGAGGCCTCCGACTGGCGGGAGCAGCCTAAGCTGGAAGTTGGACATCCTTAGCGCGCTGCCACAGAGGCGAGAGAGGTTCCCACCACCGACCTTGTACTCACCAGCCGTGAACTCGGCTTCTGGTGCGCTCATCACCAGGAGGCAGCTCCTGCGTTAGCGTCTGCCCCCGGGTGGTCAGTGCATGTCATAGCAACCGGTCGTTCCGATGTTTGGTCAATTTGCATATTAGCCTTTTATTATATAGGATGGGCATATATTCATAGGCCAATTTACTAAAAAAATTGCTATCAATATGAGATTGTAAATGGTTATTTTCTGGTAGGATTGAGGTGTTGTTTTTTCTTTACGCTTTTCTGTTTTCCATTTTTCCACTATTAGCATATTTTTCTCATAAAAGGACAAAAGGAAAAATCTGTGTATAAAATGAAAATTTTCAATCTGGATCTCTTATTAAGCTTGAATTTGTCTACTCCCAAATTGGTTGAAGATGAAACATTTTACATTTGTTTTGAGGCATTCCCTGCACACTAATCATGTAATGATTGAAAAATAAATATTTTCATTGATATTTAGAGAGAAAGAGAGAGAAATATCCAAGTGAGAGCTAAGCATGATTGCTGCATCCTACACGTTCCCCACTGGGGATGGAGCCGGAAACCTGAGCATATGCCCTGACCAGGAATCAAACTGGCAACCTTTTGGTAGAGGGGATAATGCCCAACCAAGTGAGCCACACAGGCTAGGACTTACTTAATGAATTTTTTAATGGCTTCAAACATAACTATTATGTTGAAGTTAATTTTGCCCTCAGACTTTCCTCCTCAGAGGGTTGCTATATCATGCTAGTCTTACTATAAAAGACATTAGTCATATGTGACAATACATAGTACATAGCAGCATTTTTCAGCCAATAATATATGCAACATATGCAGTATATCAGCTGTACTTACTGAAGTTACCATGCAAGTGGAAAAAAAATAAGTTTGAAAATATTTTAATCATCACTAGTCTGGGTTTCCTGATAAACCATTGGTTTTTCAATGGGGGTGATTCTCTCCACTTTGTCCCCAGTATTTATGTCTGGAAATGCTTTTTTTTCTTTTTCCTTTTTAAAAAACATGTTTTTATTGGTTTCAGAGAGGGAGAGAGAGAGAAATATCAATGATGAGAGAGAATCATTGATCAGCTGCCTCCTGCATGCCCCACACGGGATCGATCCTGCAACTTGGGTATGTGCCGTGAGCAGGAATCCAATTGTTACCTCCTGGTTCATAGGTCAACACTCAACCACTGACCTACACTGTCTGGGCTGGAGTTACTTTGGATTGTTACACTAATGAGTAGGTTTAGATGTGTTATTACTAGTACAGGCTGGAGTTGCTGCTAAAAATACCTGCATAATCTTTCTCTGTAATATTCAACATGTGCCTTGTGCACATTTATCCCTAGGCAGATTCGTTTATAACGCACATCCTTCCAGGCAGAGGACAGCCCTGTACAACAGAGAATTATATGGTCCAGAATGTCAGTAATGACATCAGAGTTGAGAAATCCTATTCTAAACACAGTAACACAGTTTATCATCACAGTAAGAAAGAAAGTTGCACAAGTGTGCTCATACTAATAGGAAAGTTCTTAGTTATGTTAAACAATGGGGCAGTGTAATCTTAACACATTTACCATTTTCCTTACATTTGACAAAAATCAGAGGTTTACTTCTTGATGATGTTAATTTTTTTTATGTACTTAGAGTCTTTATGTTTCTTTTTATTTTTCTATGCTGATCTTTTCATTTTCTATTCAGTTCCTTACTCGTCATGGTTTATAAACCTGTCAGCATTTTTTGTTTGCTTTTGCTTTTCTGTGGTCATATTCCAACTAATTTTATAAAATGGACGTAGTTTTTTTTTTGAACAATAATTTGGACTCATTACTTCTCAGGAAACAGATCTGAAGAAGAAACTTAAGTCTTTCATACTCTCCTATAATTCTATCATTTATATGGAACCATTGCAAACATTTTTTTAAAAAAGGCCTGAGTAATCTTTCTCTGTAATATTTAACGCTAGAGGCCCAGTGCACGAAAATTGTGCACTCAGGAGTGTCCCTTAGCCCAGCCTGTTCACTCTTGCAGTCCAGGAGCCCTTGGGGGATGTCCGACTAACGGCTTAGGCCCGGCAGTCGGACATCCTTAACGCTGCCAAGGAAGCAGGAGAGGCTCCTGCC